GCGGCAGACTGTTTCATTATGGCGCGTGAAATTCATCACGCGAAAAACGCGTTCGACTTGCAGCAGGGTAATTTGACGAAATTTTGCTATTTTTGTTAGCTAAAAACATTAACAAGGGAACAAAGTTTCCTGCGTTAATTTGGAAACCGTACATTTATTTGTAGATAACATTTAATGACGCGATTAACATTCGTTTGATGCCGCGCCGATCATCGTAATATAGCCGCATAAAATAATGAAACGAAGCCTAAATGTAAACTTTCCGGATTTATTCAATAAACAGTTATATTATGTGTGAATGATTATCGCAATCTGCGTCCTCTCAGTCACGAAATATACTGCTGCAGAGCCTCTGAATAGAACGTATCATTTCACTGTGTTGTTTTTCGAATTATACATCACGTGATCGTTGTCATGACAACGAAAAGTAGGTCAACTTTTAAAATCTCCTTTGATAAATCATATAAAACTTGAATGGTAATAATCAAGGCCATACTTATTTTTTTATGATTTTTTGTCTATTTTCGCTAAATACACAAACTGAGACCCAGGCATTAATGTACCTGAGAAATAGGCAAAGGCGATATTTGATGGCAGAGCAAACAGGTAAATATTTCACATAATATTGATCTGCTTTTATTTTTAATTTTTAAAAGATAATGGGAGCATAGGCAGCCCACTAAACGACTGAATTTAAATTAAAACTGCAGTGAAATTATAAAATTTAACGAAAATAATCACAAATTAGCGAAATATATTGCGAAATGTAGCCTATATTAAATCGCCACTCGATTGCATTATCGGCGAACTGACGTAATATAAATCGCCACTCGATTGCATTATCGGCGGACTGACGTAAATATAAAGTATACTAGAAGTTACTATCGCAAGGAAAATGCTGCCTCAACCCGTCTTCCATCACACAAGCACGTAAGGCACCCCTAAGACACCAGGAGGTAGGAAAAGTGCAGTTTGAATACGAAAAAAGCTTGCACAAAGTCGAAGGTCGGCTAGATATTCTAATCATAAAGATTATAAATAACACTAGAAGAGGCATTGAGGTTAAAAATTTGGGAACACGTCTAGGGGGGGGGGGGCAAATGTAGGTCCCGGATATAAAATCATGCTCTCACCAATGGGAACACAAGTACACATGCAGGAATTTGCCCCCAATAGCAGGATTCCTTTTTTGCCTAATGTCAAGATTGCGATGCCTCCTCTAGTGTTATTTATAATCTCTATGATTCTATTAAATCCTATTGACTTCCACAAATTCCTTACTCTTCAAGAAATTACTTCCTTGAAAATTCCTTCGTTCTAAAAAGAGGAAGGACTTTGTGAAAGTCTACAGGTCATGCTATGCACATTTTTAATGATTTGCATTATTCAGATAGATGCAGGTTTATTGGCAATTTTAGCTTGACCAGTTGTCATGGCTAGCTTGCCACTGAATACTGTACAATAACATGTATAACAAACAATAATAATACTTGAATGAATCATTGGATATGTAGAATTTAATTAAAATTTCATACATAAAAATACTACCAGTAAGGGCCTGTTCATATGGGCAAAAGTTATCTGTGTTAGCGAGAAAACTTTTCAACAAGTTTCAAGCGAGATCTCACCTTGGTATGAAAATAATATGAAAAGTTACATTGCGTTCATATGAGACAACAACTTTTTCCGTGTACCGAGACCTCGGTGTTTTTCCCATATGAACACAACTTTCCCGCTTAGCGGGATAACTTTCTGTTGTGTCAGCAACTTTTCAATTCAATTCATGTTCAGCGCTACGTCACAGCCGGAAACTTTACCCGGTAAGCGAGGTAAAGTTTCCTCCATGTGAACAGAACAAAAGTATTTGGCTAGTCTTCACATGAACCCGGGACAGCGTTATGTCTCGGGGCAAGCAATTGTCACGGGACAAAAATTGTCTTGGCTCCTCAGTAAAAGAATAGTGCTGTTCACATGATATTTTACTTGTCCTGGGACAAGAATTGACCCGAGTGCCTCACTTCTATAGACAGGGACACTCGCCTTGCTGGGACAACTTTTCCTCATGTGAACACTGTCCCGGGATAATTGAATTTTGGTGAAACGATCAAAATCGTGGCTAAAATTACATTTAGAGCACGTTGGACTCCACAAAAACTTGTTATTTGATTGACGATATCATTAGAAATCTATAAGTGATGATTCTAAAAATATTGAAATAAAATTGTCGCTAATATCATGTAGTATGTTACTCAAAGAATTTGATCTGGTCAACCAGAAACAATGAATTGAGCACATTTTATTACGGCTGATAATCAACTAGTACGTTCTATTTGTAAATATCATAACAAAAAATAACGACGACAAGTTTGCATTTATCAGAATGTTTTTTATTTAGCAATATTTCACCATTTCCCGTTGGCAGGAATATTTTATGATTCCCGCGTAATGTATTTATAGGCGCGCTAGCTTTATTCATGTGAACAGAAGATATCAGTACCCTGGGTCAATGACTTGTCGCAGGGCAGTTGTTTATCCCGGGATCATGTGAACAGGGCCTTAAACCGAGATAACTTTTGCCCATATGAACAGGCCCTTTGAAGTCAGTTTTGTCCCAACTACTATATCATTTTAGTGGCACCTTCAAGGCTACCCCTACTGTAGAACAACTGAACAATGAATCTGCCAATCAGGAGACAAAATCTATTTTGTTGACATTTTTGTTTAATACATCAGCTTCAGATGACCATTATTTGTAATGACTATATATATAATAAGAAAGAAATTGTGAGCATTATTATATACAATTGTGTGTTCCAATGTGGGCATCACACTGCTCGATTTAATAGTAGTCATCGCCCAGGAAAATGAAACAATTGCAAATGGCCACTATCGAAATTGTCCCAGGTCATGACTATTAAGACCAGTATTTCTCGCAGGCATCAAGCCTTGAGACTTCATTATGCATAAGTTATTTGATATACAGTAAAGCCCCACCAGTAGGTTAAGAACCACTAGTCTGAAATTTTGGCAATTAAGCACCCAAAATACAAGTTTTTAAAAACTTTTTAAGTTTGGATATATGTCACAACAACCATATTAGTGTCATAGCAATAGTTTTATGCAACAACAGGTCCTATTTAATATGTAGAATATAAAAAAATATTGTGTGAAGCAAGTCAAAATTCACTGAACTTTTATGCGCGGGGCTTTACTGTATATCATAATCATTTTACTGTAATATATATCAACTATTTTTATTGGCAATTTTCTTATTGACACACAACCTATATGTTTGTAACTTTTGATACACAATACCTTGATCTTTTGACAACACGAAACAACTTTATTATTGCCAACGACTGCCCAGCTAGCGAGATCACACTTCGCTAGTATAAAATATAAATATTATAGCGAGATCACACTTCGCAGTAGCAAGTTTGGGAATACAAGTACAGCGAGCTCACACTTCACTGCTTTTGAAACATATAAAATGAACGGTCCCCTTTGATTTGATTTGACCAAAAGATCCCCGCGAACACACACCAAAATATACACCTAGAAGGGATAGAAATGTTGTAAATGTAAGTACAGTCGATGTATATATTAACTGCTTCATATTTAATACTGTAGACAGAAATGTTGTATATGTAAATACAGTCGATATATATTACTGTAAAACCTATAGCAATTCAAGATAAATATAAACATATAACATTTCAGGATAACTTACTTTGAAACGACAACCCAAAACGGAAAGAGTATTCGATATTTTTTGAAAAAATGTTGTTGTATTAAACTTGCCAACCACACCACGAGACTGATTCGGGAAGAAACCGGAAGTTATGCACTGAAACGAATCATACGTCACAAAACGTCATCAATCCATTGTTCTAATCTCGATTTTTTCTCCCTATCTCCTCCACATAACTCGCGGAAAGCCTGGTACCGACAGAATTAGTATGCTGCCTCTACGAGGCAGCAATTACGTCAGTCCGCCGATAATGCAATCGAGTGGCGATTTAATATAGGCTACATTTCGCAATATATTTCGCTAATTTGTGATTATTTTCGTTAAATTTTATAATTTCACTGCAGTTTTAATTTAAATTCAGTCGTTTAGTGGGCTGCCTATGATGGGAGTAAATGATAGAATATAATCCATTATATAACAGGCTCTTTGTATAGTATAACGTATTATTTTCCCCCGTGTATTCAAAGTCTTGTCGTAAAAAATACAGAAACTTTGTTTTTATATTCAAAGTTTTTTTTTTTTGTTTTTTTTTACTTTACTAGCTTTGTTAAATTGTGGACTGGCCATGGTTTTTGTTAAACAAATTTTGTTTTATTTAATTCAGTTAAATCAGTTTTTTCCCTCAAATCCTCTGGGTTTTCTACATAGACTGATGACTGAAATCTGACATGCTTGATTTTATGCAATTGTATGTGCTAAATAAGTGTATATACAGGTGTAAAGGCATGAAACAATGTGCTTCTATCTATATTCTTTGTGTTTATATATACTAGAGTCTGTGGTTATTATACTGTATGCATAATCTAGGGTGCCAGTAGAAAATAGCCTAGGGGTGCCAGAAGCTCAGGATACTGTGGGCAGCTTATCTGGTAATATGATTTCTACCTAGATTTCTGACTAATGACATGTTGAATATCTCATTATACAGGCCAGAACGCAGTAAAAAAAAAAAAAAATTTCGTGAATCTCACCTGAAAACAAGAAATATAATAATCCTTTCGAGGTAAATGTTTCGTCTACAAGCAGAGCAAAAACTGAAAACTAACGCACTTTTTTCTCGACTGCAAAAATATCAAGATTTTCAGTCAAAACTCGAAAATTATGATCAAAATTTGTGCAAAAACCAGGGGGGTAAAGGATTTTATTTCAAGCGTAGGATCGCGGTTGGTCAGTGGTAATTGCCATGAGCCGGAGGAACCATATGGCGTCAGCAAACCTGAAAATCCGCCATGTTTTTCCGGACACTCGTTTGACTGAAGGATAGATAGGAGCACGTCCTCCAGTAATATTATAGCTCAGTGGTTCCCACCCATTGTTCCCGCCTGACCCGCCAATGAAGGTCTTACCACAATGCAACGCGTTGGAGCCTATTTCGGTAATTCGGTTTCATTTATTGACCCCAGCACTTTTTAGAACTTAAAATAGTTTAATTTAGGTTTTTAGTTGTGTTTTTAAATTTCATATGACATATTAAAAGAAGTAGTAAAAATACATTTTTATAAGTTAGATAAAAGCACAAAACACACTGCTAACTTTTTTAGTCGCAATTCAATTGATCGGTAAATTAGTAGATCTGTTTTATATCGAAGGGTAAGTTATGCCGTTGTAAACAAAAAGAAAAAGTGCCTCATTGGGCCATACTTCCCGACTCTGTTAACTCATATCGGTCAAGTCCGTCTCGTGCTAACCGCTAGAACGCCGTATGTTAACGTTTAAGCTAGATTTCGGCTAAACTCAACGCTATCGTCAGAGGCGAGCTGACTCTTCCACAGTCCCTAACACTGCTTCTAACGCAAAGGAACATTCCCATCAATCAGCGCGCGTTGGGTAATTCAACGCGCGTTAGGTAAGCGACTGGGGACGAGTCAGAGAGGCGAGTGGATAGGTGGCTTACCAAGCGGTATCGAACGAACGACGGGGGAGCTCTCTCCTCCGCAGAGGCTTTATCGCCTTTCCCTTTGCCGCCTGCGCTCCTTCGCCCAGCGGCTACGCTCGTGTTCCAAGATCCGCCATGTAAAGTGTAGTGAAGTGTATCCATACCTAATTTTAGTGTGCAGTGATAACCAATTTGTGCAGTGATAAAACTAAAATGTGCTGTGATAAAATGTAAAATGTGCAGTGATAAAATTTGCTGTGATAAGTTGTTAACAATTAACACGAAAATCCAGGCAATGAGCAGAAAAACTGAGCTAAAAATTCGTCTTGACACTCCTTGACAGTATTAATCAAAACATTTTGAATGAGAACAATTTGAATGAAATTGAAATGATAGCTGCCAAATCATCGAACGTGCACTAATATTATACTTCAGGTTTATCAGATGAACAAAGTCTCGCACCAAAGGTTCCTTTATGAGTCTGGATGATAAAGTGAATGATACTTATCTTTTTGTAATTAGTGTGTAATCTTCAGAATTCTATAGAATGTCTTTGCACATTGCATAAAATCCCCTTTTAGAGAGCCTAGATTACAAAATTTTCTGTGGGTGCATGCCCTTGGAACTCCTCTAGAGGTTTGTCAGTCCTAAGCTGTCTAAGCTGCCTCTCATTTGCCAATACGAAAATATTTCTTTCTTGCAAGTATGTGATTATGAAACTATGCCGTCACAGATAGTTGAAACTATAGGTGCTGTCAAAGGGGGCAATTTTTCCTGGAGTCTTAGTTAAAGGAGGGCCGAAATAAAGAATTATGTAAAATATACATAGATATAACTGTCAAAAGACTTCCAGAATGCAGGATTTGACCATTTCTGGGACCTCAGATTTTAAAATTTTCCTGGGGAGAATGCCCCGGCCCCCCTAGTGATAGTGTTAGAAGATGGAATCATGTGGGGCACCAAGTCAAATTTGGCCCTGGGCAACCCTGCGTGTTGTGCAGTGTATGTTGGTTTTTGGCATTTTTTAATATCAATTGTAGCCTGTTTTGTGCATAGTAGTTACACATTGTGTGTGTTCAGAAATTTTCAGGGCGTGCTTCTGCTCGGCTAAACTTTGCGCAAAAATGTGCAGTGATAAAAAATTCTTAAAATTAGGTATGAGTGTATCTCATCGTAATATTAAATCCTAAGAAAACTAAAGCCTCTGCGGAGGAGAGAGACGGGGGAGAGTGCCGGCGGCCCCCAGACCATTATGCCTGGCACCCTTTTCGCAAGATCCTATGATTGGTAACTACCACACACAAATAGAAGTAACAGTTCCGTACATAAGTACGTTGTAGTTGCCAGGTGTGGTGCATGTGGGACGCTTGAGCTCGCTGTTTACAAAACGTTTGAAACGAACGCATGCGCGATAATTTGACACTTGGGTGAACTTGTGAACTAGCGCATGCGTGGCCATCACCCAATCAGGACGCAGGAAAATTTCGCACTGGTCCCGCGAGTTCGAGACATGTGCGAGACGGCTCAGAATTCAGAAATCAGAAATTCAGAATTCGGAAATTTGAAATTTCAAATTTGCATGTATACAAACTTTGTTTTTATTTTTAATAGTGAAAATATTTACACTGTAAGTAAGCATATATTATTCACATGTATTTGCTTGCGGAGGAGGCTATGCCTGTCGAAGGTTTAAATTAAAGAATATGGCTAGCCAAGGCGATAAATCGACTGGAAAAGATGAAGGCGAAGTGAAATCTACACCATCAATTATTAAACCAAGAGGTCGCACCGCCGTTGGTTTCTAGTACTGATACAAAAGGTAGAAAGCTTTATAATTTTATATTTAGTACTGTTTTGTTGGCTTTATTATAGTATTTGTATTTTATGAAACTTCAAACAGGTCTATAAGTCCTATATATAAAAAAAAGTTTCTAAAATCTTGCACATAGTGTTTATTCTTGCATACAGAATATACCATAGATATTTTATATACACTAGATAGTGCATCTAATTATTCTGCAATACAAAAATTGAAGCCGTGATTGCAGTCTCAGGTCGTTCCCATGAAATGAGAAGATTTGTATGTTTTCTATTTCTTAAACAGGGAACTTAAACATTAAGTTAAGCCTATTCCAAATACGTTTTTAAACTATTCAAATGATGAACGTTATTGTTGTTTTTAAGCGTTTATTAGCAAGTGGGAACGACCAGCATGGCTGTAACCGCTGGAATATTCTTGGCTTCAATTTTACTAAAAGAGATGCGCTATCTAGAGTATATAAGATATCTATGGAATATACCCTTCTGGAAAGTACCTCACTTTGGCTATAAAGCCTAACGTCAAATCACAAAAAGGATGCCCAAGGTGATGTCAGTACTTTCCGGAGCCGTGTATATTTATATATTGCCTTGAATTCTATGATTCAGCTAGGATATATAAAACGTTGGACAGTAATATACTGTAAATTTCCGAATATAACCCCATCCCCCCAGTATAGGCCCATGTGTATAAGCCCACCATATTCACTAACACTCAGGCCATTCTGAATATAAGCCCTCCTGAATATAAACTCCGTGTCTAAGCCTGTTGGTTAATTAATTAGCACAGCAACAGTGACCCCAACAGCTCAGAAAAGTGACAATAATTAGATTACAGTATTGTATAAATGTATTGATTATACACCGTATGTTTGTATTTCTTTTTGTTTACGGTATAGTCTACACATACAATATTTAAATATTATTACTGACATCAAATGTTGTTGGTACATAAGCCCCCCCCCCCCGTAATTAAGCCCTCCCACGTGTAATCCATCAATATTTATGGTCAGGCACAGATTTTCTGGGGGGTGCGCACCCCCAGAATTGATTTGCACCCCCCAGAGGTATTTGGCACCACCCCCAAAAGTTTTTGTACCCCTGCAAATTATATATATTTTGATTTGATAGTTTCATATTTGATTATTCTTACTACTAAATTTGTAAAATTACCAATATTATGGTCTCAGATCTTGCCATGCAGGCCCAGAAAACAAATTTTGTTAAACTTTTTCCTTGGCCTTTCCGGGCGTTGCCACCACGCTCCGGCCAAAGCAAGCAGCAGCACCCCCCAGATATTTATCTACCCCCCTGAACGAAAATATGAAAATCCGTCTCT